CAAAAAGCTTGAGTTCTCTGTCAGCTGGTAGAGTGAGAAGCGAACACGTTAGATTGAGATTGTTTCCTATATTTGCCTTTGCCAAGAGTGTGCTTAAAGAATGCTGCTATATTTGAACAGTTGATCTGAGTTAGTTAAATAAAATATTATTTTGTTAAATATTTTGATAGTTAAGGTTATGCCTTTTTGTTGTTAGTATTTTAACTGTGGTGTAAGAATAAAGTGTATTTTGCTTAAAGCCAAGTAGTTTGACTAATCAAATCACATCTGGAATGCAGCGCCTTACACTTGCCTTTAAATAAGGTAAAAGTTAGGGTCTAGGCTATCTCCTTAATATGTTGTAAGGGGGTTTGGTCTATTTTATAACAAACATAATTAAAACCGATTGCCTGATCACTGTCACATTGTTGTGGAACCTTACTGTATGTAAATTGGTTGACTCATTTCCCTGCATTACAACAGTGATGAATAAAGGTATTTATTAAGTTGGCTGTGAAGTGCTTTGGGGTATTCTGGGGTTGTGCAAGGAGCAATTAATATGCAATTTTTCTTGTCCATTTCTCACAGCAGCTATCCTGTGCATCCATCTGTAATGGCCAGTTATTGCCAAATTAAGGACAGCTTTGCACTGTGTACACATATTCTGGGGCCAATTTGAATTTGTACAGGCTGATCTTTTGAGGATATTCACTGATCTTTATTGTAGTGCTGGCAGATTCAGTGATTATTAATTCCAGTCATCTCCCATTAGGTTCCCATGGACAATATTTGATTTGACCTGTTAATTCTGTTTCTCTCTGCAAATGCTGCCTGGTCTGCTGGGTTTCCCAGCTTTTTCTGTTCTTATATTAAGTATAAAGTTTTATCCTGAGCAAGTGAGCATTGCAGATAATTTCAGAATTCATTATGTATCACTTAAACCTTGGCACTTTGACCAGGTTCCTCATTTAGGGAAGGCTCAAAATGGTAGCAATATGGCTAAATATAGGATAGTTAAGCTGAGAAATATAGATCAAAATGTACTGTTTCACAGAGAAAAGTTACGCAAAGTTCTGTAGTTTGACATCTCAGCACTCCAGGCTTTTTACAAGGTGCCAGTCTGTAGTTTTAATTATTTCATGGTGCAATGCCTTCTCTTTATCTGTGCATGCAGGCTCGACTCATCTGACTACTTTGTCAAGCTAACAGATATTCCATAAAGTTCAGATCTTAAAAGAATTATAAAAATTCCAGAACAAAAACAAAGTTTCTGGAAAAGCTCAGCAGGTCTGGCAGCATCTGTGAAGGAAAGAAACAGAGTTAACGTTTCAGGTCTGGTGTCCCTCAGAAATGAGGATGATTCGCCAGACCCAAAACGTTAACTCTGTTTTTTCCTTCACAGATGCTGCCAGCCCTGCTGAGCTTTTCCAGCAACTTCTATTTTTATTCCTGATTTACAGCATTCGCAGTTCTTGGGTTTTCTATAAAAATTCCAGATCACAATGTGCAAAATCCATCAGAAAAGTTATCTATCTCTAGACTAGCTTCCAAAGCAAAAAGATCTGACCACCTCCCCAACCTGCAGCAAATGTAGACATAGATTTTTCTCAACGTTCAACAGAACTGCAGACATGCCCCCTCACCTGTGAAAGATTGTTTGGCTACTTTTTTGTGTTCAATTTTGGGCACCAATATCAGGAAAGATGTATTGATCTGAGAAGAGGTGCAGTGATGTTTGCCAGATTTATGCCAGGGCTTTAAAGTGTTAAATTGAAAGATTGTATAAAGCTAATTTTTATTTCTTGATTTTAGAATGTTGAGGAGTGATCTAATCAAGGGAGCACAATCTTAAAGTAGAACCAGGCCATTGGGAGTGAAATCAGGTATCATTGTTTCATGCAAAGTATGTTGAAAATCTGGAACTTGCTTCCAGTAGAGCCCTATCAATTGACTTTTTTAAGATCAGGAATTGATAGATTTTTGTTGGTAAGAATATTAAGGGATTTGGAGCAAAAATGGTGGTTAAGTGCAATGTTTATCATGTTTGGGACTATGTTTTAATGTATGATAAAATGAAGGATTGATGGGATAGGATAAAGCTATTTGCTTGTCAGATAACATTATACTTAAGATCAAAAAAATCTGCAAAAACTCAGCACATGGAGAAAGCAATAGAGTTAACATTTCAGATCAAATACCTTCCGTTAGAGCCTAATGGAAGATGACTGGAATTAACAATAACTGAAATTATCAGCACTACAGTAAAGATCCATAAATACCCTCACCGGAACAACAGATTTCCTTCCCTAAAGGAAATTAGTGATAACGGATTTTACAATTGGTGACCGTGTAATGATCACCGTTGTGGAGACAAGCTTTCAATTGCAGATTGATTCAAGCAGCTGCCGTGGTGGGATTTGAATCACAGCATTAGCCTGTGCCCATGTTTTATTAGTCCATTGACGGCATCATTTCACCGCTACCTCCTCAGCTAATTTTAGTGACAAAATCCTTAAAAGTTGTAAACTTTCACAGGCGGAATTCCAGCTCCTTTACTTCAAAGATTTAGCCAAAGATTTTCATCCAAGAGCAGATACCGATCATCCCAGGTTCCACAAATCTGGCCTTCACCAAAATTACTCTGT